GATATTGTTCTGAATACAAAAGGGTTTTTCAACCTGTAGACAAGCCAAAGGTACCCTTTAAATATGTTGATGTAAATATTAACAGACAGGTTAGGCTGGGTTCACACCTAGGCGTATCGAATATGTGCGTTTGTTGCGTGTTTTGTGTCGCGCATTTGTCGAGCGATTCGCGATAAAAAAAATGCGCAACAAACAAGGGCTACCTGGCTGTATCCCAATGGATACGCGCGACAAAAACGCCCCAAAGCAGCTCCTGTACTTCTTTGGGCTTAGGGCGTTTTGTAGAGCGTTCATACGGCCTGTAATACGCCCAGGTGTGAACTATACCCATAGGAAATAATGGGATTTCGGTGTTTGAGCGTTTTGCAGAGCAAAGGAACGCGCTACAAAACGCCCAGGTGTGAGCCGGGCCTTAGAGTTCACTGGCTCTGTATATCTACAGTATATGTCGGCACTTCCCATGCCCACGAACATTCCTGCTGAGAAATGTAGTTAAAATAAAATAAAAATTGCCTGGAGTTCTGCTCTAAATTACACATTAGTTTCCTTTTGTGTTTGCTAACTATAGTTTCTTGTCATAAAGTTTATGTCATGGCTTGATCACCACTCTGTCCTCTGATATCACTATTTTTATTTACACCGGATAGTACAGCTCTTGCTGCACTTTCAGCCACTTTGATTCTCATAAACGGAAGGGTTGTTGTAGTTTGTACGCCCCCCTCTCCCCTTGTTGATTCACAGAATGCTGCATATTACAATGGGAGAGAGAGACTCAGTCTTGTTGCTTAACAACTAAGATAAAGAGTGAGGCTTCCATGAGATGCAGAATCCACAATTCTGTATATTTAATACAATAACAGAAGAAGGCATGTGGAACTGTGAATTTAAAATATGTAGAGAAGTGCTCAGTGAAAATATACATACAGACTGTGAGAATACATGAAGTCAGGGACATATAGTTCTATCCTGTAAACTATGAAATGTATATTTTTGGACTTACTTAATAAATTATGTTATCCCTGTCTCAAATAAAGAAAATACATGATCTGAGAACAGTAATGACCCTGGAATATATGCAGTAGTTGTGAAATGATGAGTTATTTCTCCAGTTGAACAAAAATGAACTAGGTAAGGCAAGTCAACACTGCTCATCCCTTGAGTGGAAAGGCAGGAGCAGTAATGATCTGCCTGGTTTAAAAAAAGAAAGGGGAGTACTCTTAAGCAAGCAATGACCTTGATTCACCTCCAATATGAGCCGGTAACTATTGTGCAGGTGCAGAAATAGCACTCAGGAGGTAGTTGAGGCTTTCCATTCTGCATACAGCACTGTGACATGGATGTCCTTTAATGTAGTATGAAACTCTCAGCATTGTGTCGGTTTGACACATTCAGCTCAACAACAAAAAGATTACCCTATAAACTGTTCGTTAAAAATTTGTGCCAAAGCTCTTGCCTTAGACTGAATGGTGCTGGCTCCTGCTCTCTCAGCACTGTTTCCCTGCACATCTAGTTAGGGAGATTGTGCACTGATAACTTCACAGGGAGGAAGTAACAGGGGACAGCGGTAGTCTCGAGCAGTTGTAACTCTGTTCGGAAGGAAGAGGGGCATGCCTTTTCTTCCAAGACTACAGGGCTGAGTGCTTCTATTGAAGCACACAGTGTAAGGTGATGCAGTTCTAGTCCTGGCTGGGAGCATGCACACAGGACCTGCTCCATTTGACCCTGCAAGGAGAATGGAGCCACCCTGAAACTGGAAATGTTAAGCATCGATCATGGCCACCGGAATAAAAAGTAAGCGTTAATCAGCTGCTGAAAGTGCTTAAAATAGTGAGGATTTAATATCACTTTAACAATGCCAGCACTCTGTTATGTTGGACTATACAACACTGAACAAGACTGTAGTTTAAACAAACTCTACAATATTTCCTAACTACTACATTTTTTTTCTCACTCAGATGGTAAGTTGCACGGTGGAACAGGATGAGAAAGGTAGGTTGTGTCATAACACCAAATATTATTTTTACACTTTCTACTGAAACCTTCAGCTTGACCTTCACCTGGAGAATGACTGAACAGTGATTGTGATGAACTATTCAATGCCAGGCTTAAAAAAGAGCAATGGTCATAGAAGTTCTAAATACAGTAATGCTTCAGCCAAACAGCTATATACACATTCGGTACATGTGTAATTCAAATTATTTCCATTTTAAAGATTTGTAGAATCATGTGCCTACTCCTGCTGTGCTACATTGATGAACAGCACAGTTTTTAAACCTTGCAATGTTTATCTGAATAAGTGTGCTGTATCTGCACACTTATTCTGTAGTTCCCCCCTTCCCCTCCAGTCTTATACAAACCTGTTTTTGATCCAGCGAAATATTGTCTGTGCAACATTTTAGGTGCTAAACAGTGGCTTGTCAAGATATTCCCGACTAGATCTGCAATGTCATACAATCCTAGGTAGAGCTCCAATGTAGGAGATTACAGTCCGAGTTATCTCTCCATAGGAATTATTAAGAGTGCATGTGAAAACCAGCCGGTAAGATTTTGAAAAGCAGCTGTGATAGCTTGCTGGATGAGGGACAGGTGAGAAAAGGATCGGGAGAAAAGCCCTAAGAGCACGGAGGGGGGCTACAGAATACTGTAGAAGAGTTAAAGCGGACATTTACCCCCTTACTGACTAAAAATCACATCAGCATTCAGCTCTGCATGCTGATATGAAATAATCTTATATTTATTACTTAAACAAACATATTTTTCTTTAATGTACAATTACTGTTTCTCCACTTCCTGGCCCTCCTGGCCATTAGTTATGTAATATGTGCCCCAGCGTTGCATTACCGAAAGATTACATCAGCAGAGCATTGCATGGAAATCTCATCTGTAATCTTTCGATATCTCAGGGAAAGGCATTTTCCTCCTCTGTGATGATATGTATGGTCAAATGTCCTAGTGACAAGTGCCGGAGTTCCAGGAAGTAAAGTGAGATATATTAATCTGCCTTTAGTAAAAAATGGCCACTGTGAGAAGAATGGGGAAGAAAAGAAAAATAAGGTATGCAAAGAATAAAAAGCCTGCAATTATCTACACATATCTGCTTGTAGATTGCCATTACTACACAGGTTGGTATGTTGTCATTTCAAAGATATGCGTAAAGTTCCTCTTTAAGACTCCTGGCCGCTGTCACACCCACTGCCTGTTCTTGAATAGTAGTGAACACCCCCAACTTGTTGGGACCTACCCTTAGCTCTCTCATGTAAGCCCAGCTGATTTTTATATGTTTTTATATTTACCTAAAGTTATTCTACAAACTCTGGATTTAACTAAAAAAGTAACACAAAACCGAGTAATATTTGCACACTCAATTCAACCCCTGCTGAGAGGAGTTTCAGTTTAACTGGAGAATCAATAAAAATTTTACACTCAGAGAAATGCTGCATAATTCTACAAAGCACAATAAAAACATGCTTACTACAGAAGAGGTAAATTAACAAAAATATAAAAAGCAGGTAAAGCTGCACAGGCACACCGCAAGCCACTATTATTTTAAATAGTATCAAAAAAAGCAAACGGTCACTTTCAACAGATGAGGTGAATTCTGAAAAGTCTGGGTATTAATATATCTGCCAAGCTTTCCACCCCGCGGCACACTCCACCGCCAGCAGTGGCTCAACAAGCATCAAAAGACAAATATTCCATTTGAAACTAAGCTTAAAGGTTGAATAGGTACAGTGAAAAGTAAGGTTCAAAACAAACATTTTGACACTAAAAAAGGAAATTCAAATAAAAATAATAAATCATAAAACCGCTATGCTTTCAATACCCAAGAAGAAGAAAAACACATACACAGCTGGAGGGTTCATTAGTAAACAGAATACATTGTGCAAGTTTCTGCAAGTGTAAAAATAGACTTGCTTTCCAACTATTGTATTGCTTTGGTACAGTTAATTTAAGACATAAAGAAGATACTCTCAAGTCTCTGAACTTGGATTTATTTTTGGTCTATTGCTATTGCTTTAGATTTGATGAAAGCAACCACTGAATTTTGCTACATACTTTAGGAGGGTCCTCCACCCAAAAACAGTTTTTCCTAACATGTGAATTCTGTGTTGCTTTAACCAAATGTACGGTATGCCTTCTTTAAATAGAGGGCATTTAGGCAGAGCCATGCAAATCATCCCATTACATTTTGTTTTTGGAAGGCAGTGTTTTAGGGAAAGGGCTATTTGGCTCATTTTGCGCCATAAGGTGATTAGCTATCCTAGTTGGGTCACCATTTACCAGAGATTCCTCATTTTTGGAGAGAAGATTTTAAAGATTTTTCTTTCCTTGTGTCTATATATTGTAAGACAACTTTGCAGTAAAATAATAAATGAGCTATGTTGTCCCGCTATGTTTGTACACACTTGAAGTATCCACTGTAGCCAATGGAATATTCTATGCTTGGAAGAACTAATTAAAGCTATGTTAGCAACCCTCTTCCCTGTTTTTGCTTTCACACTTTTCTTCCAGGAACTCCTCCAACACAAATGTTACAAGCAGAAAGTCATATTTCATTTTGCAGCACTGGTGCCCCCATTACCCTCCACGAAATCTAAAACTACCGCTTTAAAATTACTACCTTGTTTATTATTCTGATAGTACTTGAGGTAGAGAACTCCTTTAAATATTCATTGAACAACATTGTATAAAAAATCAGTGGCAGCTTCAAAACACCACTATTAGTGTGAAACATACACTTTATGTAAGAGAAATGTTTTTTGCATAAAGCTGTATTAAAAGCCCAGGTGACATGGTCCAGTTTTTCTACCTTTCATGGTGTCATACAACCATTTTAAGTTGAGACCAATGGCCCGAATTCCTAGTCTATTAAGAGTTTAAATAAAGTAGGCATGAACCACATGTAGTGCGAGACGATAGCTACTCCCAGCAGTTAGGTAGCTGCAGCTACAAAACGTTCCTCAGAACATAACCATCTAGAACCTTAATGTTGGTTCTAAAACGTACAGTATGTCATACAAAGAATTATTAATACAGAAGGTCAGTTCAGGAGATTCCATGTGGCCGATCAAAAATAAACTTGGGGCCTCTTCTTCACTTTATACTTCAGTGATCCATATCGCACCTGGAAAACATTAAAACACCTTGATATGAAATCTATCCAGAATCTCAGAAAACTTAAATATATTTTCATCTATTTTATTAATACAGTTGAAATCAAACTTCAGATAAGTGTAAGATATTCATACACAATTTCACCACCAAAGCAATGCTTAACTTAATAAATGGGCCATTTGAAATATAGAAGAGCCGTCCTGTGTTAACGTGAATCTATATTCATGAAAAGTCTACCTATTTATGCAAATTTCCACCATTAAAACAGCAAGTTCACCCAAAAGTGATATAGGTGGAACCATGTGGGCTTCATTCCAGAAGCCAGATATTCCTGCCATAGTTCCCAATAGAGAGAAATCTCCCTTATTAGGACACAGACAGCAGTAAAATCTGAGGATCTAACCCTTCCCCAATTTAGCCTAAAAACAAAAAAATATTGGCTAGGGATAGGCAAGCTTACCATAAAAAATGAAAAAGGTCTGTAAAATCACAATACCCTCCTCATCCCCCCTTTACCCACTGCTGTATATTCCATCTCCCACCAACCGATGTAATAATCTGGACACTTGAAAACTTAACATCCTCAGAAGCTATATAGCATCATAATGCTTGCAACAGCTAACAGTCATTGGTCAGCGTGGTCATGTGACTGATGTCCTGGAAAAAAGAAGACTGAGAAGTGATCCCCATTGGTCCGGGCGGGCACGTGATCATGCTGACCAATGACTGCAAGCTGTTGAGAGCATTATGATGCTAAGAAGCAGTGCAGTGAAGTTTTCAAGTATGTGGATCGTTACACTGGTTGGCATGGGTGGCGGGAGATGGTATTCATAGCAGCTACATGCAGCACGGACTAGGGAAAAGGGGAGGATTTTTTGAGTAAGTTCCTCTTTTGATTTTATTAGAACTGACCCTTTAACTCTTTGATGTAGTTAGTAAACTAAAATACCAGTTTTGGTTGGATGGACCCCTTAATAAAAAAAATGTTGCTGCAAGAACCCTATTTCCACCTTCACTCTTCTACATTCTCTACAGGACCTCATGAGTAAAAGATATTCCTGCGGGTGACATAAGCCACTCAGTTTCTTTTATTTTAAATCTGCCATGGAAAAGGAGCAACAAGAAAATATATCTTTAGAACATGAGGTCCACAGTCCTCATGTGGACATGAGATCCACATAAAGAAGCAAGCCTTTAATAGGAAGTGGGTGGGCTGTAGTGACAGCACCCTCTACTGGCCTGCAAACAACTGTCATTACAGTAGTGATCATACAAACTAACACCACAACCAATATAACACATAGCTGTGGCTGCAACTGTTTAGGCATAGCTTAATGCCTGTGAGAAAGCCAGGGTACACCCATTTCACTGACTTGCTGCCCTATGCAAATATATATATATATATATATATAGAAACCCACCCTTGAATGGATATTGTTACATACACAAGGCAAGAAAAAAATCATAATAACCCCTTCAAACAAGTGCTTATATATTATATCTTGAGATCTCCCAAAACCTATTACTTTATATGTTCCTGCAAAACATTTGATGCATGAGTTACCTTCGTAAGTACTGTAATTGCATTGCTTTTAGTTCTTCCTACAGTGCCAAATACTGAAACCCCGCTGTAGATAAATTCTGCCAATTACTACAAAGCAAAGCTTTAACAAAGCACAATTAGCACTGATGGCTGATATATACCTGAAAACTAGCTTGACAGTTGTGGAGTACAAAGACTCAAAAAGAAAAAAAGATGGAACTAAGGGTCAAAGACAAATATAATTATGCTTGTTCTACTTCCTCCCGACAACAGCTTGCCAGAAGCCTTCGCAGAAAAGGCAATAGAATTGTGATAGCCTGTGACTGGCTATAGTTTATCTTCAATATATTACTGTGAATCATCTCTGCCTCTGCTTTCCGGCAGGGAATACTTTCTTCTACGAACATATGGAGGAAGAGGGGGGAGAGCATGCAGTTCACTTAGAGTTTAATAAAACACACACTAGCTCTGGAGCTGCATTTTGCTCTTTAGAGAACACTCCTGCCAAAAGAAACTGGCTATGTTTATTAATGTATACACAGTGAGAAGCAAACTTGTTCCAAAGGATCAGATTGGTCTGGATAGCTCATACCCACCCGCACCCAGAGCTCATTGAATGTTGTAACAATCTTTAGATGGTTGGGTGATTAGCAGATAGCAGCCTTGTCCTAAGTTGTTCATGCAAAAGACTCAGAAGAAGAGGGTTGAATGATGTTGACCAGTACACTGAGGACAGCTAGCAGAAGAAAAAGGCACTGTAGTGGAAATCTCTGGACTGAAACTTACTATTGCAGCAAAAGCTGGTTTTGTTATTATACCTTTTAATGGGCTATTCATTTCTATTTTGTAATTTTTGGCTAGGGATTTGCTGTAAAAAGCACTCCAACTACCACACTGTACATGGGCCTCTTTTACCTATATAACAGTCTTAAAGCTGTGCACCTCAAATCTTCAGCATTAGTTGTTCGAAAACTATACAAATCCCTGCCGGTGACTATTAAACAGGTCTGTCAATGTTTGCAGACCAGTAGCTAGATGAAAACAAGTATTTAGCTGCTGAATAGCTCATCAAACTCTCAGGAAACATGGGGAAGGAGATCTGTAAACTTCTATGGCCAAATTGCAAGCAGCACCTTAGGCATTAAAGTTGCATGGTTGGCAACATTTATAAGCTTCCAAGAAAACACAGTTTCTAAGTTCATCGCCAATCAGATATACCTTTTTGTATTCTAAAAAAAATAATTTGAAATATATACCAAGGCCAAGAAACGCCTAAATATAAAAACATTTCTAGGGACAAACATTCTAATTTTTAGTAGACTTGGTAAAGTCTAATATACTGGTTTTCCTCCTTTTCTGATCAAGTTCAAAGGACCCAATAATCTGGGTAAATCCTGGCTTGGAGTGGCTTTTTTAATGTTTGGCGCACTTTAATATCATCAAACAAAATGCACTGAATACCTCCTTGCGGCCTTTGACTCCTTTAATGGATCTCATGCTCTGTGACCTCCGAAGTCCCTTCTGAGAATATGTTTCATCCTCCGAATGTGCCCCCTCTGTTTCCTCATCTGTTTTGTCATCTCCAGAATCATTCTTTAATGAGCTGAGTCCTATGTAAACACAAAGAAACAAGAAACTGCATGAAACTGACAGGCTCCCTCTCCCATAACACAGGCTAAACTAAATATATCCGTACACGGCTTGAATTTCATCCGACTCAGCAGGAATCAGCTGAAATTTCGAGCTGTCGGCAACACCCAGCTCAAGAAACTTAATTTAAGATTATTGAAGGAGGCGGGTGGAAAATTGTTGGCCAAAAATCTACTGCATCCAATCAGAGAAGTCTTAGCATGTATGGCTAGCATAATGTTACTAAAGCTGGCCATTCGCGGTTCTATTTTTTCGCTCAAACCACAGGAAGGCCAAATGGAAAAAATAGAACAGATTCCTCCATCAACAATTACGAGCCTTGAATAAGGAATTCCCTGTGGGTTTCCCTTGTATTCTAACAGCAGCCGCAGGGCACTGTCAGAATACATGAAGAGCTCACTGGCCGCCAGCACTGTTTGATGAAAGGTTTGCCAACCGGCTCCTTTAATGAACTGATCAAGGGATGGCGGCCAGAAGGGTGCCGACAGCAGCACCAACTATGTGAATTTCGTCCGGTTCCTGAATAATGTATGGCCAGCTTAATGATTACATACCAATCAATAATCAATATGTAAAGACTGTAGAGGATAGCATTCTGAAACAGTTCAGAAGTAATGTGAAAGAATACAACAGCATTTCAAATAGTTTCCTAACAAATACTTCCCATCAGTGTTTGAAACAAAATGAAGTGGGGAAAATCAATACTAACTGCATATTATTTAATAAAAAATATTTGCACTTTACGTAGAGTCCAGATACTTATTTACAGCTATTAAAGGACTAAAAGTCTAGGAGTAAAAGTTACAATTAAATCAATACCAATTAAATCAATACCAATAATAAAAGGAAGCTATAATATTTTTTTTGCCCATGCAGGGAAAAAAAGGTTTCACTTA